GTTGGGTTTGGATGTTGGTAGATGTTGGTGATGTATGGTTGATGTTTGTAGGTGTTGGTAGATGTGGTGTTGATGTTGTGTGATGTTGGTAGATGTTGGTGGATGTGGTTATGTTGTAGTGTTGGTAAATGTTGGTGGATGTTGGTGGATGTTGGTAGATGTTGGTGGATGATGGTTGATGTTTGTAGATGTTGGTAGATGTTGGTGGATGTTGGTAGATGTTGGTAGATGTTGGTAGATGTTGGATGTTGGTAGATGTTGGTAGATGTTGGTGATGATGGATGTTGGTAGATGTTGGTAGATGTTGGTGGATGATTGTTGTGATGTTGGTAGATGTTGGTAGATGTTGGTAGATGTTGATGGATGATGTTGGTAGATGTTGGTGGATGTTGGTTGGATGTTGGTGATGTTGGTAGATGTTGGTGGATGTTGGTAGGATGTTGGTAGATGTTGGTAGATGTTGGTGAATTTGATGTGTGGTGATGTTGGTAGATGTTGGTAGATGTTGGTGGATGATGGTTGGTTTGTAGTGTTGGTAGATTGGTGGTGAGGTGGATGTTTGTAGATGTTGGTGGATGATGGTTAATGTTTGTAGGTGTTGGTAGATGTTGGTTGATGTTGGTGGATGTTGGTGGATGTTGGTAGATGTTGGTGGATGATGGTTGATGTTTGTAGATGTTGGTGATGATGTGGTAGATGTTGGTGGATGTGGTTAATGTTTGTAGGTTGGTAGATGTTGGTGGATGATGGTGGATGTTGGTAGATGTTGGTGGATGATGGTTGATGTTTGTAGGTGTTGGTAGATGTTGGTAGATGTTGGTGGATGTTGGTAGATGTTGGTGGATGATGGTTGATGTTTGTAGATGTTGGTAGATGTTGGTACATATTGTTGATGTTGGTAGATGTTGGTAGATGTTGGTGGATGATGGTTGATGTTTGTAGGTGTTGGTAGATGTTGGTGGATGTGGTAGGATGTTGGTAGATGTTGGTGGATGATGGTATGTTTGTAGATGTTGGTGGATGATGGTATGTTTGTGATGTTGGTTATGATGTTGGTAGATGTTGGTAGATGTTGGTAGATGTTGGTGGATGTTGGTAGATGTTGGTGGATGATGGTTGATGTTTGTAGATGTTGGTAGATGTTGGTACATGGTTGTTGGTATGATGGTTATATGTTGTTGGTTGTTGTGTGTGTGTGTGTGTGTGTGTGTGTCTGTGTGTGCTGCTGGCGTCCATTAAAAACCTGGTTTTCCTTTAGTGTAAACATATTTACTCTAATTTATTTATTTACATATTAATTTTTTTCTATTTTTAACATTTTTCACAGATTTGTTTTTTTTTATAAATTTTGAAATGTTGTGTTGAATAATCTTCAGCTTTTCTTTTATTTCTAACTGAATCCATTTGTGTGTTTTGTGCTGTTGTCGCTTTGATGCTCGGAGCTGTTTGTGCTCATCAGAGTTTCTGTTTTAGTCACACAATGGACTCACACAGGAAGAGAGCGTCTTATTTTGGCGAGTGAAGTCATTTCCTGTAATTGAGGCCTTTGAAGTTTGTTTAAAGAGTCTGTGTGTGTGTGTGTGTGTGTGTGTGTGTGTGTGTGTGTGTGTGTGTGTGTGTGTGTGTGTGTGTGTGTGTGTGGTCGGTATAATAACAGTCTGTGTGCTAAAAATACACAGTCACATGAACACAGCTGACACACACACTCCTCCTTCTTGCTGGTTGGATTGGGTAGAAAAGGAAGGGGGCGGGGCCGGTGCAGGGAGAAATGGTCAGAGCGAGGCAGAGACGACAGCAGACCAGAACCAGGATCGGGACTCTGAGCCGGACTTTCGTCAGGATGCGGTAAGTCAGCTATTGGTCAAAAGGTCATGATGTCACCGACAGCTGACCGGCTTCACACTTCCTGACTCACCGCTGCGTCAGATCCTTCACGCTGTTATTGGTGACATCTCTCCTCCGGGCCTTCACACGTGTTTTGCTCTGAGCCTCGGTGACGCTGACCCAAGTGGGCCGGGCGGTCTCCATCAGCGCTCACTGTTAGTCAGACGGTGGAAGCAGAGTGATGGCGATTAATCGAGCTTTCGTTTTGTCGACAGAGCTCATTAGTTCTCGTTTTAAACGCTTCCTTCGCCCATGTGTTCCGATCACACAAAGGAGGATTATTGTGAACTCTGGCTCATGCACAGCTGCTTTGGTGGCTTAAGTGAACTGTTGAGGTGTCCGCCGCGTTTTAAACTGAGTTCTGGGAAAAGACCCCGTGGGTCACATGACACGGGAATGAAGGAACGTGTTTTATTCCCCTGCGTTCATGCCGCTGTGTGTGGATCTGTGGACTTCCCGAGGCTTAGCATGAGTCGGCTGCAGCAGCGAGGACAGGAGCAGGAAGCTGGAAACAGGCAGAGGAGGAGACGTCAGGTGACTTTGTACAGCTCAGTGATTGGGTGATGACGATGTGGAGAGAAAGCAGAGGTTCAGGGACGGTGGGGGAGGGGCAAGAAACACTGCTATCTCTGTTTGTGCTCACAGAGGTCCATTGTGTGCGATGGCGTGATGTCACTTCCTGTTTGTGATGCCCGTTTGCCGACAGCGGCTGTACAGACTGAGGCTGAGCAGCTCCACGCCATCAACTGTTGTGATTGGTCGGTGAGCCGACGTGGAGCGCCCTCTGCAGGAACGACTTAGCACACAATTACAATAAAATACAAAATAATGCTGCGCTGCTCATCTGTAATCTGCAGGCTTCCCAACGCCAGCCAATCACAAGAAAGTTGTCTTACAGGGGGAGGAGCCCAGAATACTTGTAACAGTTCTATATGTTCAAAGCCGCAGCCCAACCCGGGCTGTGTTTCTGTCTGTGTGGACTCATCCCACAGTGTCAAAGTCCAGTCGGCAGCTGGGGGACCCGCGCTCCGTGCTCGCTCTTCCTGTTCGTCGGGTTAACGTGACCACTGACGGCTGATTCTTAATTCTTCGTAATGCACCGCGCTGCGAGCTCTCCTGACCAGTGTTGGTCAAGTTACTTGAAAAAAGTAATTAGTAACTAATTACTGATTACATCCCCAAAAAGTAATCCCGTTATTTTACTGATTACTTATTTTCAAAAGTAATTAATTACTTAGTTACTGAGTTACTTTTTAAAAACACGATTTACAACCTGAAGAGGTGATATAGTGATAGATCTTTCAGCCCAATTCTACTTTTTCTATAATCCATCGTACAAAATGTAATCAAATGGAAAAGTCTCTTTTTAAAACTTGTTTTATTAGTTTTAATCTTTTAACTTTATGCATCAAGCAAACATTTAATTATCTGCAACATTCTCTGACTGGAAGAAATTAGTTTAACATTTAAACCTATTTTCTGCACATTCCAGCTCATAAAATAAAATATTTTTTGTGTTTACACTCAGTCTTTCAAATAGATGCAAGTAAAACACAGCAGAACATAAATAAAGTCAAAGACTCAGCGGTCCTGTTGCTCTATTTTCACCTGTAAAGCAGGAGTGGGGCAGGCGGAGGTTTACCCTGGTGCAGGTGTGCCGCGGTCAGTGGAAGAATCCGCGAGTTTCTCTGTGAGTTTCCCATTACGTCGTAGCTACTCGGTGCTTGTTGGAAGTTTAGGGTTTTTTCGCTGTAAAAAGAAGTTTTCTTCCCACGCACAGCGGACACTAATGTTTTTGTCACTTTTTATGGAATCAAACTCAAAGTAAGGTCAGTACTTCCACGCTTTAAACGCCGCACGCTCATACTCTCTCTGCACTTGATATATGATCCACTGTTGATCTGCACACAGCTGTTGTCACGAACGTCGCACTCGCTTACATCACTGTCATGAGACACACTCGCAAAAAACTCACGGTTTTAGTAATGCGGCGTGCTCACGGGAAAGTAACGGTAATCTAATTACCGTTTTTGCAATAGTAATCCCTTACTTTACTCGTTACTTGAAAAAAGTAATCGGATTACAGTAACACGTTACAAGTAACGCGTTACAAGTAACGCGTTACTGCCCATCTCTGCTCCTGACAGGTGTCAGCAGCCCGAGCAAGGAAGTCTGCTCCCAGATATCCCGGCGTCCTGTGATGCTCTCCGTGTGACGGCCGAGCCTGTGCTGCAGGTTCTGTGGTCGCGTCCTGAAACGAGGCTTTGTTGGGACGTGACTAAGCTCTCACACGGAACCCTGATCATTCCCAGAGTGTTCGGACTGAGCCTCGTGTGCTTTTATTCCCAGACATCAGAGTAAAAGTTCAGGAAACTGCAACAGCAGGAGCAAAACTGATCCAGAACAAGTCAGAATGTAGCCACTCATCAGACCCTGCAGCAGTCTGAGCGCGTTTCCCAGCATGCACCACACCTGAGACACAACCTGAGGAGGAGCAGAGTGACAGAGGCACCAACTCTAACACACACACAGTTTGCGTGTGTGCGTACATGCGTGTGTGTGTGTGTGTGTGTGTGTGTGTGTGTGTGTGTGTGTGTGTGCGTGAGCACTGGATACCTGATAAGGGTTTCTTGGTTGGGTCTGTTTCTGTCATTGAGGAAACAGAAGCTTCATTGTAGAGCAGCTGATCAAGAAGTCACAGAGTTATGAGGGCAGCAGCTCTTCAAGCTTCCAGCTGTGTCCTCATGATTTGACATCTTGTTAATTAAAGTTTGAAGTGTGACATCTGAAACTCCTACATCTGGCTGTGGACTGTGAATGCACCGTGATGTATGCACCTGTGTGTTTCAGGTGATCACGCCCTGTCGGCGCCTCATCCTTTGTGCAGACAACAGGAAGGAAATGGAGGATTGGATGACAGCGCTGCGCAGCATCCAGAACAGACAGAATTATGAGGTCAGTCTCGTCCCCGCCATCCCAGTGTACAGAGACTGGTCTCTGTACAGCCTGCTCACTGTGTGTGTGTGTGTGTGTCCCAGTCCACCCAGTATAGCATGGACCACTTCAGTGGGATGCACAACTGGTACGCCTGCTCCCACGCCAGACCCACGTACTGCAATGTGTGCAGGGAGGCTCTGTCAGGGGTCACGTCACACGGCCTCTCCTGTGAAGGTACACAAGTACACACACACACACGGTGCAGAGCAAAGAGCTGTTATTGTGGCTGTCTGTGAGCAGCAGCGTGTTCCTGATCAACAAACTTGGAGCTGAGTGTGCTCCACCCACCTCCACCTGTGTATACGTGGAGGTGGGTGTGAATCAGCATCCTGTGAATCAGCATGCAGGCGGACTGCATCCTTCAGATACAGCTTTCCTTTATTGGCCTGTAACAAAGCTTTTGAGGCTGAATGCTATCAGCAGACAGCTCCAGCTCAGGGGCTGTGCTCTGCAGTTTGTAGATGAGCCGCAGGATAATTTGACCTGTGTGTGTGTGTCTGTGTGTGTGTTTCAGTGTGTAAATTTAAGGCTCACAAACGGTGTGCAGTCAGAGCCACCAACAACTGTAAATGGACAACGCTAGCTTCTATCGGGAAGGACATCATTGAGGACGAGGACGGGGTGAGACACACAGCACAGATGTCCTGTCAATTCTGAGTCGGGGAACGGCTCACCTCTGACCTTTGACCTCTGTGCTCAGGTGTCGATGCCTCATCAGTGGTTGGAGGGAAACCTGCCGGTGTCGGCCAAGTGCACCGTGTGTGATAAAACGTGCGGCAGTGTGCTGCGGCTGCAGGACTGGAGGTGTCTGTGGTGTAAAGCAATGGTGAGACACACACACACACACACACACACACACACACACACACACACACACACACACACACACACGTCAGATGTGTGAACAGGTGAGCTGTCTCCACAGGTGCACTCCAGCTGTAAGGAGCAGCTGTCCTCCAAGTGTCCCCTTGGTCAGTGCAAAGTGTCCGTCATCCCTCCGACGGCACTCAACAGCATCGACTCAGACGGTGAGTGTGCTCCTGTCAGTCTGAGCCCCACGCTGCCCCCCGCAGGGCAAACACACTCACTGCAGATCTGCTCACACAGCCGTCATCCCCACCATCACCATTATAATCACTAACATTACCACCTCACGCTGACGCGACCCTGCAGGTTTCCTTCTTATTTCCCCTGATAACACACACAGTGAACCCTCTGAACATGATCGCACAGTCAGCGTTCTCCTGAATGATGGGTACGGCCGCTCGGACAGTACCGCCACATCTCCGTCTCTGTACCTGCACGTCTGTGCTGGAGCTTCATTAAAATGGCGGGGAAAACGGACATGTCAGAAAACTAAACACAGCTGTCTTCATCCCACAAGAAAGAACATCTCCAGACTGCAATTAAAGATAATAAACAATAAAGATGAGTGTGCTCGGTAAACAGGCAGGTTCATCCATACCATCAACGTGTCTCCTCACAGAGAAACGTTGAGCTCTGTGCCATAAACTTTGAAGACGTCAGAATGCCGACACTTCCCCCACAAAGATGACCTTTGACACCAATACGAACCAATAAAGTTGTGGTCTGACGACCGTTGAAAAAGCTCACCACCCTCACCGGTCACTACAGCAGACCCACTCACTCTGTGCAGGCTGAAATATGACAGCAAAGGGCCTCAGGGTGGGCTCTCGGGTTAAAGCGGCTGTTACAGAGGTTTTAATGTGTGCAGCATCAGAGCCAGCACCGCCCACGTCGGTCTGCAGGAGGTCGACACAAACCAGTGCCCCACTAACCCACGGCAGACCAACAGCTGGTGTGTGTGTGTGTGTGTGTGTGTGCGCAGGTTTCTGGAAGGCGTCGTGTCCTCCGTCCTGCACCAGTCCTCTGTTGGTCTTTGTTAACTCTAAAAGTGGAGACAATCAGGGCGTGAAGTTCCTGCGGCGCTTCAAGCAGCTGCTGAACCCGGCGCAGGTGTTTGACCTGATGAATGGAGGGCCTCACCTGGGGTGACACGCACACAGACGCACACAGACAAAAACACAGTAACACACAGTATGTTTGACATGCAAGTTCACACCTCTGTGTGTGTGTGTGTGGCAGTCTGCGGCTGTTCCAGAAGTTCGATACCTTCAGGATCCTGGTGTGTGGAGGAGATGGCAGCGTTGGCTGGGTGCTGTCTGAGATCGATATGCTCACGCTGCACAAGCAGGTACGAGCTTGCGGGTTAACTCGTGCTCTGCCTCCCGCCATGCTCGCCGCTGACTGTGTGTATCTGTGTTTCAGTGTCAGCTCGGCGTTCTTCCTCTGGGGACCGGGAATGACCTTGCCCGGGTTCTGGGCTGGGGTTCGGCCTGCGACGATGACACCCAGCTCCCTCAAATTCTGGAGAAACTGGAGAGAGCCAGCACCAAGATGCTTGACAGGTGACCAGTTATCTGATGTCACACGAGGATGGGGACGACCTACGGTTCCGGGCTGTAGCTCAGGTAAACCACGCCTTTCTCTCTTCCTGTTGCAGGTGGAGCATCATGGTCTATGAGACTAAGTTTCCACGGCAACACTCTGCATCCACTGTCACCGAGGACTGCAGCGATGACTCTGAGGTGAGACCTCAGCACTGCTCTGATGAAGAATGGGTGTGGCCAATCTCATTGTCCTCTGCATTGGTCGTGTGTGGGTTTCTGTGATTCTTTCCTCTGATGGAACAAACCAAAGCCACTCATTTACAAAGAGTATAACAGTATTCAGAGGCTTAGCATGCTTGGATGAGGCTTTATGAGCAAACTGGCTTTTTCTGGTTTGTGCAGGACCAGCTTTGGCAGGTTTTAATATTAGTTAATCAGATCATCGTCAATAAGACAATAACCAGGGCAGCAGTGATGCCAGTGCTGATCCCTGACTTTAATACTGATCAGTATTAAAGTCAGGGATCAATGTTACCTAGCAACCTAATGATGAGTAAGTGGATATGTTTCCGTGAATGTGGCTGAGCTTGTGCTGAATGTGAGCAGAGGGGCCGATCTGACACTGACAGAAGCCACCATGATTTTATTTTGAAAGTGTCATGCTTGCTGAATCAGATTGGGAACAACGAACACACTCCTCTGACTCAACTGTTTCCATCCTCTAATCCAGGTTCAGCACATTCTCACGTATGAGGACTCAGTGGCTGCTCACCTGTCCAAGATCCTGACCTCTGACAAGCACTCGGTGGTTATCTCCTCGGCCAAGTACGCCCACCCACCTGCGCAGCCATTTGTGTCGTGTCTTAGGTGTAATTGAGTAATGGTGGTGTTTGTGTGGTTCATTGCAGAGTTCTCTGTGAGACGGTGAAGGACTTTGTGGCCCGGGTTGGTAAAGCTTACGAGAAGAACACGGAGAGTTCGGAGGAGTCAGAGGCCATGGCCAAGAAGGTACCACAACTGAAAAGGCACCAGTCTGTGTTTGATGACTCGCGTCTGTGTTTGATGACTCGCGTCTGTGTTTGATGACTCGCGTTTTCTGTCTCAGTGCGGTGTGCTGAAGGAGAAGTTGGACTCGTTGCTGAAGACTCTAAATGAGGAGTCTCAGGCGTCCTCCGTGCTCCCTCCAGCTCCTCCACCAACCATCGCTGAGGAGCAGGAGGAGGTGGAGGGACTTGTGCTGCCTCCTCTTCATCTTCCTCCTCCTCCCCACTTTCTGCCCATTTCCACCTGCTCTTCACGCCCCACCAGTTCCACCTCCTCCTCCTCTGTGGTAGCAGCTGCCATTTTTAAACCTCGAGAACAGCTGATGCTGAGAGCCAACAGTCTGAAGAAGGCCATCCGGCAGATCATTGAGCACACTGAGAAAGGTGAGCCCGTCATGGTCAGGACTCACCTGAACAGGTGTGGTGGTTTCACAGAGGAGCTGTTCAGATACAGCTCAGTAAAGTCAAATCTCCATGAGGCTGTGGATACTCAGCTACAGTCAGTACAGCTGCCCCTTAGCAGGCTGCCACAGGCTGGCCTATCAGAGGAAAGCAGGTGTTTGGGGAGGAGGGCTTTAAAGAGACGAGTGATAACAGGTTTATTTTCGACGATGGATTGGGGGGCTGTATGAGATGCAATTAAAGGGAAAAATTAGATTTTCTGTCCTTCTGAAAAATTTGGGTAAATGCTCATCAGTTCCTTCCACAGATTGAAGCTGGGCTGAGTTACAGAAATGACAAACACACTGATCCAGGATCAGATCTCAATGTCTGCTGCTGCAGAACAGCTTGGCCTCAGGTTTGTTGTTAGACTCTGTCCACAGACAGACCCCAGCTGCGGGACTCAGCTGGGGTCATGCTGGTTCAGATTCAGGAAACCAGGGCAGGAAGCTTGATGAGTTCGGTCACTTTAATTCAATTCAATTCAATTCAATTTTATTTATATAGCGCCAAATCACAACATAAGTCTCCTCAAGGCGCTTCATAGATACAGAGAAAAAAAAACAACAATCATATGATCCCCATGAGCAGCACTTTGGCAACAGTGGGAAGGAAAAACTCCCTTTTAACAGGAAGAAACCTCCGGCAGAACCAGGCTCAGGGAGGGGCGGGGCCATCTGCTGTGATGTTTGACCTTCCCATTGCTCACAATTTGAATTTGTTCACACTGCAGATGAGGAGACTGCTTCTGCACCTAAAAAGAGAGCTTGTTTGGGGACTGAGACAGCGAAAGATGGCACAGTGTGGCGTGAAGAACAGGTGGGGACCTGTCTCCCTTTCACCCCAATAGAAGCGTACGCTGCAGATGGAGAGCCAACGGCTAAGGCCAGGAGAAGTATCTCGAGTCGCCTTCAGAGCTTCCTGTGTTTCATCACTCTTGACATGCTTCATAGCATTCAAGAATGGACTATTCAACATGCACAGCAAACGGAGCATGTTCATTGGTTCATGGACCTCCATGGATACCATGGCAGTGCCAGGATTGTGAGTGATTGCTGAAAATGTTGAAATGTACTCACTCACTTTTTATTATTATTTGTAAATATGTGTACAAATGGTTGGTTTTTTGTACTGTTTTTATCAATAAATCTCAGCAACAAAGGACATACACCCATGTGTGTTGATTTCTCCCTAAGATGGCAAACTGAAACACTCCAAGTTGGTGACTTTTGGAGATTTATTTCCCTGGATGATTGAGAATGCATCAAGATGAAACACAAAAGGAAGTGCACAGCTTTTAGCAGCTCCCCCACGCCCTCAATCACACACCCCCACTCCCCTCCCTCCAGAATTCCCAGGTAACAACCTAATATACATATGAATGACTAGCCAATTTAGCTTCCACTTGGCTGAAGCTAAAGCTTAGCTAAAAGCCTACCAGCCATTTGGCTGCTCTCCGGGTTTTATAGGTAGAAAGGTAGAAGCCTGGCTTTGCAGGTGTAAGTGACTGTTAGAGCCATTATTCGCCATTATTCTAAGACTACACTACACTAAAACAACACATTTAAGGATTATTGGAAATTTAACTCTCAGCTGCTGAGAAATGAGGAGTATTGTAATTCTATTAAAAAATTAATTTTAGATATCCAGAATGATGAAGCCATCAATACACCGATACTCAAATGGGAATATCTTAAATTTAGAATCAGAAAAACCTCAATTGCATTCGGTAAAAAGTTAAACAGACAAAGAAAAGAAGAGGAATCAAATGTAGTAAAAGAACTTATGAATCTGTATGGCAAATTGAATTGGACTGAGGAAGAAAAAGGAAAAATTAATAATTTACAATCTAAATTGGACGAAATGTACCTTTATAGAGCCAAGGCTGCTTATTTGCGATCCAAAGCCAAGTGGATAGAAGAGGGTGAAAAGAACACTGCCTATTTTTGCAATCTAGAAAAACGTAGACAAGAATATAATTCAATATGTAACCTAATAATCAACGGAGAGGAATGTACAGACACTGAAACAGTAACCTTTATAAGTCTTCATACTCAGAACAATGCACCTCCTTCTTTGACAAAATCAGTAATTGGATTCCAGTAATTGATGATAATTTTAGAGAAATTTGTGATGAAGACCTAACTATAGAAGAATTTGATTTTGCTATTAAGAGCATGGCATCTGATCGCTCACCGGGACCAGATGGTATAACAACTAATTTCTATAAGCACTTTTGGGAAGACCTAAAATTACTATTATTCAGTGCGATAAATGAATGTATAAATCAAAAGGAGCTTATGACAACAATGAAACAGGGAGTTATAAAATTAATTCCAAAACCGGGGAAAGATAAGAAAAAACTAAGTAATCTAAGACCTATAACACTTTTTTTTTTTTTGGCCTGTCCCGTTTGGCTCTTTTGCATCAGAATTGTTGTCTAAAGGCAAAGAAAGATACCCAACGGATTTTACTTTACCAAACTGACCATCCCAGCCTTGCCAGTAATGGTCCATTTGATTC